ATTAAAAGGTAATCTGTGTGTGCATGTTGGTTTTTAAAGATATTTTAGTATTTAACTGAGCAACCGAAACGTCCAAAACTTACTGAAAGAATTGGAACATCCTAAAAAACAATATACAAATGCAGATAATGCTCATTATTCACACCTTTAAGTTTTGTAATAGGTAAATTTACTTTAATAATATTAAAGCCAGAACAAAATCGGTTCTACCAAACAAATATTTGCAATGTTGACATTTATTGTAATATTATGTTTTGGAAGACAGGAGTCAATACAATATGCCAGTCTGATGACCTGACGATGACGTGCTGAAATATAAATAATCACAACAAAAACATTTCGTCAAACTACGTGTGAAAAACTGCTAAGTAAAAAAACAGATCTTTAAGCACTATTAAGATGTGATATCATAAATAAATGCTAAATAAATTGAATTAAAGCACACTTATTGTTATTTTGTTTCAATAATTCATTTACTTGGCAATAAATTATATAATGTCGCACACAAAATAACGTGAATAAAATAAACAAAAGACATTAGAAATTCATTATAATTAAAAATATTTGAATAAACATTTCTATTGAAAATAATTTTTCTCCGTGTAAATAAATTATTGAAACAAAATAAGTGTACTTTAATTCAATTTACTTAGCATTTATTTATTTACAATTTTTTTGCAGAATTTATTTTATCAGTAACTTAATTACAGTTTAGATATCATAAATGTAGAAATAAGAGTAGGTATATTTTTAATTTGTACACTTTATATTTTTCACATTTACATTAAATATTAATGGTGATTCCAATGTCTCACAACATAATATATGCGCAGTGTTTTGCAAGTTCCTTATAAAAAGAAATTCGTTCCGTTCCGTTCCGTTCCTGGTTCCTTAAAAAAAGTATTCTTTCCTTTATCGTTCCTTTGAAAAATGAACGAGTTTCTTTTTTGGTTCCAAATAAAATAAAAATTCTTATTTAATCATCATTTTTTTTTTCATATTTATACTCGGGTGCTTAACTTTTTAATTATACTTAAACTTATCTAAAAGTAAATTTATAATTTACTATTTAAATTTAAGAATATAATATTGGGTATATATATTTTTTTTTTTATTCATCTATACTTATTATTTTATATACAGTATAAATTAATATAAATTATTATAATATTATGCGAATAACTTTGATACTTGAAAACGATCACTAATTGACAATATATACTTGCCCTAAAAAAAAAAAAATTGAATTTGAATTGCTTACATATCAGTGTGGATAAGAACTCGAAAGGAAAGAACAAATTCGTTATTTTTCCTTGAAAAGAAAGAACTCGTTCCTTTTCTAGTTCTTTTTTATAAAAAAGAATTCGTTCCAGGATCCTTTCGGAACTTGTTCCTTTCAAATACTGCGTTGGCCGGTATGGTCACGCTAAGTATAAAAAGAAAAAAGTGCCTTAAAATGCACACATAGGCAATACAACAAGCGAAAACTAGCCGGACATAATTACAGGAAGCAATACGATTCACAAAAAACATTTCTTGAGAAGGCATTGGAAATTTGATGTTAAATGATGAAGTTTGAAAATATAATCGTCTAATTGGAAGTTTCTCGTAGATGTGCATGCTGTACTTTTCAAATCATATTGAACAATATCAGCAGAGTTATAACCAATTTAACTAGAAAGTATTGTAGTCTATTTTCAACATTTTACTGGATAATTTTCCCCGCTGCATTACGATGATATATTTTTTGATGGAATATAGTTTACAGTATTTCAATGTTACAATAATATCAATGTAATTTATTTGATTATTTACTTTTTTTAGTATACCTATAGCCTATAGGTTAAGTATACCTATAGTTAAAAATTACTAGGTATACATTTTTTCTTAGTACAATACAATATTGCGTAAGTAATAATTTCAAAAATGTTATAACAAATATTTTTTTTGTTTCAATTACATAATTAAATTATGTTTTGATAGTATTTCCGATATAATGATCTAATATATATTTTTGTGTTAATGATATAGGTACTAGGTAGTAATGTTATGTATAATAATTTATCTTTGATTAATATAATTCTTATAATGCAGTAATAAAGTAATGTTTTTTTATATACCTACTAAATATATAATATAATATTTTTTTCATTTTCTCAATGAATTTTCTAAATACTTTAAATCCTTAGTGACCTAGTATATATATATATATATATATATACATATATATGTGTATATATTTAAATTAAATAATATAAATCATATTTGAAAATAATGATAATTTATAATTACCTGCGGATCGTTAAACTATTATTATATAAGTAAAAACTATCTTTAATCTAAAAAGTTTTCGATATGGACAACATTGTTTGAACTGATTATATTTATTTCAAACTGTGTTGTGTTACTATCCAATTAAATATAAACTTAATGTGCAGACCACTATTTAAATAAAGTTGTCGAATTCAAAATTATATTTATTCTCTATTGTCTTTATTTTCCTATTTGGAATGTAAGAAACTTTCATAACTTTTCTAAAAAAGTTTCCGAATGATCTTGCTATTCTCTCACACTCCATCTGGTATTGAATCTATCATCCACGATTGCAGTTGTTGTCTATTACAATGTATAAAAAATAAAATTACAAACAGAAACTCCTCTGAAATTGGTCATGAGTTGCTGCATGTATTTTTAATATCTACACGTTAGTTCGAACATACTTAGTTATCTTAGTTGTCTTAGTAGTTTTACTTTAGTTGTCTTATCTATACTGCAATACAACTAAGCATGTTCGAATTAACGTATAAAAAATCGTTACCCGATTAACTCTCTCATCTCACCTGACCACGGAACAGGCGAGACAAGGGCGGCAAAGGCCTCTAACTCCGTTTATGGTTCTATCCGACGACACACATTTTAGCCGTTACGTATATCCGTTTACATTTTGCTCTTATAATTCAAATATGTTCTTTAAACTCTAAAATGTCAAAATATGCAAAAATATGCACCAAAAACTTTAAGTAATTTTTTGTATTAAAAATTATTTCACCAAGCTTTTTCCATAAATAATAATATGTTATACCTAAATTCCACAGATTAAGTATAATATCTATTATTTAAGTATGCCTACTTTATACCGACATAAAATAAAGTTCACCCCCCATATAAATTGCCAAAGTTACGCCTATGTAATCACTAATTAGACAGTGGCAAATGCCCACCTTGATCGCCTCATATGACGCTAGGTACTTCATTCATTAAGCATACATCATAACAATTATTTATAAAATTCTCTAATATTGTATACTTATCAAACAAGTATAGCAGGGTTTGTACGATGTATGAATACGTTGTATTTATTAGTAAAATATTATGTATTTTGAAATACAATTTGATATTACCTACGTCTTTCAAACAAGAATAATAGAGTTTAATCATGAAAAGTGTTTACTGGTAATACATGATTAAATAATATATATATATTTATATAATGATAGATATGAATCTTAGAGTAATAGTAATTCTGGTAACTCTATGGTAGGTATGAACTTTTATCGTCAATCATAATAATACATAACAATAACAAAAATAGAATTTATTAAATATATTGTGGATATAAAAACAATAAGTAAATCTTTATTACCATAATATTATAACAATAACACATTGGTGTTTGGTAAATACATTTATATGACGTGTTCAAAGTCAAACTTTGGTACTTGGTAATCATTGTTAATCAGATATTTAATAATTAATTATAAATTATAATCTTATTCATCGCGCAGGGCGATCCATTACGGTTGACAGTAGTACACTTACTATCAAATTTTTGTTCTTAGTAATTCGACAAAATAAATAGATTGTTTTATAAACTTTTTTTTTCAAAATGATTGTAAATAACATACATTTATCTAAAAAAATGGTTGTAGAAAATAACCATACTTTTGTATTAGAATAATTGCCTATTTATCAAAACATTTTGAAGTGTTGTTTTAATAAGATTTTCCTACCAAAAATATTCAAGTTGAAAACATTAAAAGACAAGTTGGTATGTTTAAATTTTTTTTATTAAATTTGTAATTTTTTACAAAATAAGTTATGTAAATCCTGAAGTATAAAATTAATATACTTATAATATATATTAATGTATTAATAATTAATATAGTTTTCGCAGTATTCAATTTTGTATTTTTGTATTATCTTGATTCTTAATAATAATAACAAAATTCACTTAAATCTAATATAAAAATTAAAGTGTAGATATTATAAATTAAGATTTTTTTAAAAAAAAACGTATACGATTTTGGATTCATTATTATTTTTAAAAAATGTGTATAACTACTTTACAGTTATTAAAAAAATAAATAATTTTATTTCCTCGTTTATTGTTATTATTTTTCAATTAAAAAATGTTATCCATATTGTACTAAATTTTTATTCCATATTATGCATGTGCGACGTAGTAAAATAAAAATTAAATATGATTTGTATATTGGGCCAGAGTCTCAGACCTTTGATAAATAACAGGTCGTCCTGCACACTATGGCAGGCCCTGAATCTAAAGTAGGTAGGTAGGTAGGTAGGTACCCATCTGTTTGCAGTACTATGCGATATGCTTTTGCTTTGTATTTAATTATTTTCTTGAAATAAAATGGTTGACGGCGGTCGTCCCTACGTAGCCTGTCGTTACAATGACGGCCTTGACTCGACTTGACTCATGTCTCGTGGTAATAATCAGTAATCACCGATTATAAAATTTATTTACTGTAATCGGGGAATAATTGGATTTGGAAAACTCTGTTGTTCGTTCCTGTCATTATTTCTTTATCGACATTTTAGCACGTAGAATTGTAGACGTGAGACTATACATTCAGTGGCTATTGACGAGCAATAAAGCAACAAACATTATTATGTCGACAGATAAATGATAATGGAAGAATTTCTACTGAAGGCTGAATAGCGATTAACAATCATACATGTCGCTCGTACTGGTGCGTATTTATCTTGTTATCAGTTGAGTTTGTTCGTTATCTAGAGTACCCGAGTACCGGCCGTGCTGAACATAACCATTTTAATTTTTATGAAACAACCGAAATATTGTTGTGTTAGATCAACAACCAAACCACCGGCTATATTACTATTATTATACTATGCTATATTCTAGTATTCCGTAGATCGAGTTTAACGGTTGAAGGTAACTATCGTCTAATGTCTATGTTATTGCTACCCAGTTTTTTGTTCCAACCACTTTTTTGTGAAGTATATTGCTTCAATTAATCGATTGTTTGTGAACACAATATACTGTCAGAAACCTTAGAGAAACTTACTGGTAACACTTTACCTACCTACCTATTAATTATAATTTAAAGCAATTATTCAACTTCTGACCTAGTTTTTTGTTTGATCATATCTTAATCAAGCTTTTATGTTAAATTGTTGACCATTTGGTCTTGCTATACAGATAACGTTAAGTATCATAACATGATTTAACAAATTAATTCATCGACATATTGTGTAAGGTTAGGTAGGTGGATTTTTTATTTTAGTTATATTATGGCTTTAAACATTCAAGATTTTCAAGGAAGAATTTGGAGTGTATCGATACGTATCGAGGCAATTTTGAGCGTTCAAGAAGTTACACTTGCAGTATACAAGCGAAACGTACCGACCCGTATCGGACTCGGACTTCGATACGAGGTGGTACGTATCGATACGTATCAAATTTTTCTTTTTGAAAATCTTGATTGTATTATAGATATTTTTAATTTCATTGTTATAGTCTTTGCTATGATACTCATCCTATGGTATTCAAACTGCATTACGGCTCCACAGGCCATTGTGAGTGTTGGTTAAGGTAGCTGAGGTACAGAAAAAGAAATCTTATTAACATAATAATGATGATGGCGGCCAATTATGCGTAGCGATATTGAAAATAAGAATTAAAAAAAAATGTGTTATTGCACCTTTGGATAATTGATGAGTAATGTACATTATAAATACACCTTACATACTTCACATTTATTAACATAAACTTTTTTTATCATTAATGATTTGTGAGCTGAAGGTTTTTTCAATGGGGGGAGAGGAGTTGTAAATTACAATTTTTGTTTTATTTTGTCCAGTCAAATAATTTTCTCAATAATTTCAGATGTTTAGGCGAGCGAGGTATTTGGAAATTGTTCTATTAGAAAAAAATTTTCTGATAATCAACTTTGACGGAGGTTTTTAAGAGCATATTGAATCTAGTTAGTACTTTTTCAAATAATCAGGAAATACAAAAATAAATAAATGAAAATTAGTCAAAACTTAAAAACGAAGTAATTAACAGGTTTTTACCTATATAAGCTGTAACAAAAATACCTGATATTAAAATTTTTTGGTTCAAATCGATATTAAAATTTTTTTAGTATTTATAATTATACATATAGTATAATTATTATATAATTTTACTAAATTTTTTTTGAATAATTCAAAATTGGCGATTTGTAAATGTAACTTTTAGAAAAATGATGATGGTAAAAGAGTTAATTTTTTAAAATATCAATAATTTTTTGGAGTAAATTAATTTGAAACGTAATTCCTAACTTTTTCCAAAATATTATTTTTCTGAAATTCCTGACTAAGTTTATTTCTAAAATTATTTATTATCGATATAATTTTCATAATTTTTGGCATACGTTTAACTATTATCAATTTTTTGTTTCTATTTGTCAGGTCTTTCTGTTCTTACATCATACATGCTGGCAATATTATAGCTTACAATCAACATTATAACTAGGTAAAATACGTGCAACTAAAATCATTATTAGTAGGTAGGTACTTCTAAGTAGTAATAACTAATTTCTAGGTAACATTTAAAAGTTATACATGTTGTGATTTGTAAAGTTTAAATATATTTATATTTTGCTCATTTGCAAGAACTTAAAAAGTAAATTAGTGTAAAAAAAAGAAGAACTTAAATCACAAGATACTTATGTCTATTTGAACTCAACATAAAATTCAATATTATTAGTGTCAAATTTGCTGATAATCATAATTTATGATTAAAGGAAATAATAAATAGTTACTGCTCGAATCAACATTATTTCTTACAATTAATTATTTATAAAAAGTAGAATTTAACTAGGAAATTATTTCAAAAATAATAATATTATTTAACCTGTTCAAAAAACCTTTCTTTAGTCTTATTTGAAAACTTTGAAACGGCTTATTAGTTTTATTTTCAAAAAATCCTGAGGAATAAACATGTATTTATCATCAGAATACTGGTTAATTTTTTGCCATTTTTCCATTTAATGTGCATTATTCAAATTCTGATTTTTAGAATTTTTAAGTAGACCTAAAGACCATATTTTGAAATTCTTGATATTTTTTGTACTACTTAAGGAATATCCAGTGGTGACACAAACTTCTATTTTTCAAATGACCCCCTTTTTACTGAAAATTATTTAGCGGATGATTTTTTTGAAAATGTTTATGTATCTAAATCAAAATTCAAATTAGTAGTTTCTGAGTTATTAAAATGTTTACACTAAGGATGTAATATTTATTATATTTCGATCATTTTTATTAATTATTTATATTGATAAATCTATAGTAATTGCTAACTTTATCAATTTGTCTAAGTCCCTAAGGAATTTAACCCATTACCATAGACATATTATCCTTAAAACACAAAGTAACATAACTCAAAAACTTCTATCTTGAATTTTGATTTAGATACATCAAAATTCTAAAAAAAATATCTGATTAATAATTAAAAACGAAAAGGGAGGTTCCTATTTGAAAAACTGAAATTTGTATTATCACAGGATCAGCCTTAAGTGGCACAAAAAATTTCAATGATTTGAAAAATGGTCTTTAAAAATTCCAAAACTCTGAATTTAGATGAGCATGCTTAAAAAACCACCATGTACTTAGGGTACACAACACTGAGATGGATAATTTTGTGCAATAGGAGTAGATTTGTAACCAAAATAATTAAGAGGATACACCTGCATGTGTTGTGTCTGGTGCAGAGCCTCTTGGTTTCCAAGTATTATATTTAGTGGTACAGGACACTTAGACATCTAAGTCTATTGACACAATTAGGGAAGCTTAGCCCCCCCCCATTATTTTTGCTTTAAATCTAAAAGATGTTGGATTATTCAATTGCTGTTTTAGATTTAATCGTAGTTTATTATTTTAATCATGAAATACATTTTATGCAACATGTACATATTAAAAATTATTCAAAAGTGCCTATTATAATTTATAGTTTATTCAAGTAAAAATAATAATTTTAGGTTTTATGTAATAATTAATTTTGTGGGCCGACATCCAGCTTTTTCAGGGTGGTTGAGGTCCCCTCATACGTATAATTAATTATAATTTATGTGTATTTGGCGAATAAACTATACGGGACTGAGTGGCAGTATTGTGCTAAACAGTTTCCACCCATTTCCAGTTTTTGAAAAAAAAAAGGTTTTATGTAATGAATATAATGTGGACATTGGGACAGTTCACCAACCAGTTTTTTAACTCTCGAGTTCCTGGTTTCTGAATAAATAAATATGGTCGATCAGAAATTGTGTTTTCAAAAGAGATTTGTGAAAAAAGTTTGTGGTAAATAGTATTGGTAGCTTCTTGATGTCCAACTATTCAAAAAGTCTTATATCTGTAAACCATTATAAAGGAGGTTAATTATTTTAAATAAAACATTGATGAATAGAACTATTTTTTATTTTTATAAAGAATGTATTAAATATTGATGTGGAAAGTTTGAAAGCAAGAATTATGGTTGCAAAAATTCTTAAAAAACCAATTTACTGAGTACTGATAGTCAAACATTAAGACCTCTAGAAATGCCAAAAATTGTATCCTCTAATGTCTAACACATTTCCAAATTTATATACATTTTTATTTGAAGTAATTATTTTGTGGTGGTCGTGGGGTAGGAGCAATTCAAACCCTCCCATGCCTCATATTTTGATTAAATTTATTCGAAAGGCTTCGGCCCCCCTTCTATTTTAGACAACCTAGTTGCACTAATGCCTAAGTCCTACTTAACCTATTCCATCCTATCAGCAGAATTTTCGACAAAAATAGCTATTAACTGATAACTGAATGAATTTCAATCATGATTGTCATTGGTTACTTTGCTAAATATTAAATTTATAAATTGCAGTCAGCAAATCAAACATTTTTTACCCAACTGCCCCTGTTTCTGTGTTATAAACGGAAAACGTCTCAAATTTTAAGTTCATCAATTCCAGTATTGTATTGTTAGTTTTAATGTTAGATGAATTGACTTAAAATAACTTAAAGGTAAAAACATGACTTGTGTTTTTCATTACATTTTTAAATATTTTAATTTTTAAACAAGTTTTGAGCCTTTTTAAATTTTAATGTTTTACATACTCATAGTTCGCTTACAATTTAAATTATCAAACCACTTGGGTATAACAAGTTAATATTTTTCTGATTTTCATTACTTTCATTTATTTAATTTGAATCCAAAATAAGTTAAATACTTTTTAATTCCATTTATAGCATTGTTATGAAGATTTGATAGTCTGAAAATTAATTTTCTTTTTACTTGAGGTAGGATTATAAGAATACAGGATGGCAGTATTGTGTTAAACAGTTCCCACCTGTTCCCGGTTTTTTGAACGAAAAAAAAAAGGAATTATAAGAATATTATAAAAGGTAACTTATTTAATTTTCGTGAAATTATGTTGTTCTTTGTTTATTATCTTATATTTTATTCAATATCCAAAATGTTAATTTGTTTTTGTTAAGCTATTAGTTATTTGTATTATCCATGAGGGCTTAAGGCTTAACTAATTATATAAGTTGTTATTTAAGATTTATAAGCAAATGTTTAATTTTTGTTTTAGGTTTAAACAGTGGTTATTGTAGAAGAAAAATATTTTGATTATCATTTTTAGTGTGATGGAAAAAAGGGAGTGGCCACTATTTGTGTATGGTGGTCTATCATCCTGTATTGCTGAATTTAGTAAGCCATTATGTATATGTAATAAGCCTAGACTAATAGTCATGAATATCTATATATAAATATTCACGATACAAAAATATATATTTAATATATATTATTATACTTGTTTTATTGAAAGAATTTAGTATGTTAATGTACATAACTGCTTATATCTGACTGTTTGAATTATTTTGTAAGGTACTTTTCCTATTGATACAACCAAGACTAGACTACAAGTTCAGGGGCAATTGGATGGACAATTCAATAAAATTAAATACCGTGGAATGGTAGATGCTTTTTGTCAGATTTATAAGCAAGAAGGTTTCTTGTCTCTTTATTCTGGGTATTTATTTATTGTTATTCTTATAGTTTATAAATCTAAAAGAACTTATTATGTTACAGAATTAGCCCTGCATTAATACGCCAATGTACATATGGTTCACTTAAGTTTGGAACATATTATACATTAAAACAAGCAACTAATGAATATCTTCAAGTGACCGAAGATGTAGCTGTTAATTTTGGATGTGCAATATGTGCTGGAATAATATCTGCATCTATTGCTAATCCAACAGATGTGCTTAAAGTCAGACTTCAGGCTTTGGGTCGAGATAAAACCGGAATTTTTTTAGATAATAACGTTTTTAAATGTTTTCGTTATATTTATGTACACGAAGGACTCAGAGGTTTGTGGAAGGTTTGTATTTAATTTTTCACTTATGTAGGTAAGTGCCAAATATTAAGTACACATGTGCTCGAGAGGTGCTACACCCTATTCTTTTTTATTTAATCAAACAACAACATATACTACTAATATAAATTACTTTATAAGTTTGATTATATAAATGGTTTACTTTTATATTTTTGCTTTCTTGATTTTTAATCAAGATATCGTGCCCAAGTAGGATAATGATTTGAATGCAGAAAAAGGTTTGCATGTTCAGCCCTTAAAACTATTTTTTTTTTAAATTTTACTCTGAACTACAAGAGTTAGGAAGTTGGTTGATAGCTCATTTAAATAAATTAACTTTTTAACTGTAAAAATAATGGTAATTTGAAGCTAGATTTTTCAGAATCCTCAAAATCCTTTAAACTTAAATATTTTGAAAATGTTATTTAAACTGGTAAAACTTTAAAATATTCTTCTGCTGAAGCAATAATCTTAGAAGATTTCGTCATAAAATTGTTTTACTCTTTGGTTTCTATTTTCTTAAAATTTTCAATGTATATCTTATCTTTTTGTGATTTTTAATGCTACGGAAGTCGCTTAATATACTGGGACTAGAACATTTGAGTCCACTCACCAAATGAGTCAATAAGGTGAAAGGCATTAAAAAAATTAAAAATAAATACTAATTTACTTAAAAAAATTGATATTGATATTTCAGCCATTATGTAATTAAGTGTATAATAATAAAAATAATGTATAAGTATTTAATTGAAAAAATGTTGTTTAAATAAAAATAAAGTAGTAAAATATTGTAATAAGCTAGGTACCTAATTATTTTTTGAGTTGATTGTATTTTCTCTTCTTTGGTTCGAAATGTCCCCATTAATCGGAGTGTGAGTCTAATAGACTAATTTTTTTGCTGTGTGTTAGTATACCTGTAATTCGAGACTGGTTGTTTTGAGGATAATAGAATAACCTTGAAGAAAGCTTTTACTTTTGTTAATGAATTCATTGTATCGTTTAGAACTAACTTCAAACTATTTGAGGTACAATGGATGTATGTTTCTAATTATTGTTTAAATTTCAAGACTGGATGGCTAAATATACACCACTCATGTTGGAAGACCCATTTTATCCTTGACTGCAAGGTTTTAACAAATTAATATTATCAGTTGGCCCGTGTGTAATACTACGTAAAATTATGAAAATTTATTTAAAGAAGGGATTATTTTCTACGTCCTGTAGTTTTTTTTTTGGTTGTTTTATTAGCAAAAATGTATTGATTAGATGCCAATGGATTAGACAAGCTTGCCATGATGTTTGATGTTTGTGAGTTGCATTTGTTGCATTAGAGACTTTGGCTAATGGTGAATTTTTGTTTCATTCAAATGTAATTTCTTACAAATTAGGGCATTTGAGTGATTGATGTCAGTAGCGGAAGTAATAACTTATTGTTTGGTGTGTGGATTATTGAATAATATGGTGCAATATTCGTTGATATCAGAAATAATATAGATGATTTTTTGTAGTACAACTAAACTAAACTAGACTTCACTAAACAATATGTATGATATATATACAACCATATAAATAATTTGAACAATCTTTACAGTTTTTGGTATATAATTGTATTAATTAAATTTGTTTTCTCGAACATTGGGTAATAATGGGCTGCCCCAAGCCAAGAGCCTTTGATATTTGTACACATGCTCACATATATGACACACCACTGAGTTCATTCACTACAGATTTTTAATGTTGTAAACCATAAAAACACATACTAATGTGTAGATAACAGTAGTCAGTAAGTACCAAAGGCAAAAATTAATTAAATATTTTAAGAGAACTAAAAAGTATCAGGTGAATTCCGTAAGAATAATACAACTAAAGTTTTATAATAAGGTAAACATTTTTGAAACGTATCACTAAAATTGTATATACTAAAAAAAATCCGCTGCACTTTAGAAAATTTTCCATTTTGAGTACTAGCCACAGTATTGTTTAGTTCAATCCTCATGTAATAAAATCTATAAATATTCTTAATAATTTATTATCCAATAATTAAAAATCAAGAAAGTGTACATGCTGACCCCAAATTGGCAAGTGTTTGTTTATTACAAAATGAATGCTTTACTTAATTGTTTGATTGCCTTATTTAAAGTGCACATGTATACAAAATATATTGCCCTATTTGAGATATTTTATTTTTAGAATTTTATTCATGTTTTGAAAATAGAAGAGTAAAATACAAATATTTAATGCCAACATTATAATTTATTTTTGATTAGCTTCCATAGCAGTTAAAAAATTGATGTCTATTTAAAATATTTTTAAGTGTATAAAAATATAATTAATATATATAATTAATGGAAATCTATTTATTTTATCAGGGAGTCGGACCAACATCGCAGCGAGCTGCAATCATTGCAGCCGTTGAGTTGCCAGTTTATGATTATTGTAAACACAAGTTGATGGACATTTTCGGAAATCATATTTTTAATCACTTAATGTAAGTTTATTTTATATATAACATTTTTTAATGTCCATTGTACAAAAATAAATTTAGGTTTACATTAATTAGTCACTATGTACTTCTAGCGGTTCCTAACTAGGGGTACACAAAAATATTGGGTAATGGCCGAAAAATGTTAAATTTGTTTTATTTAAAAGAATTTGCTCCGGAAATATGTAATATATGTTATTAAAATTGAAAACTTTACCATTAACTTATAGAGATGGAATTTATAATGTAGATTATAGAATACTATATGTGTATAATAATATAATATAGTAGGTTGAGGTGATGTATATATTGATTCTGTCCGACTTAAGTGTATATTTAGACTATTAGTAATAATAATATTGTTATAGCACATTCTTATACCCGAGTTAAACTTTATAATGAGGTCCTGATTGAGGGGAACATCTAGCAAAATATTAAGCTTAAGCATATGGAAGAAAAAAAGGTTGGGAACCTCTGTTGCACCAAAATATAATCGACAGGGGAAAAAAAATTGTCATTTTAAAATCAAGTGAAATTAAAAATTAACAATTATAAAAAATATTTTTTTATTATTTATTAGTCTTATAGTTCATTTATCTTATAAATAATGTGTATTAGAATTGTTCTCTAAGAAATTTAAAATTGTTTTAAAATTTTTCAGCTCGAGTTTAATAGCTAGTTTTGGAAGTGCTGTTGCCTCTAATCCTATTGATGTAATCAGGGTAATTATTTATCAATTTTTTTGATTGGAATAGTTTAAATAAGTAATCTAGATACATTTAAGTTAATTTAGTAAACAATTTTAATATTGTGAATAATAATAATAAATATAATGATACAACACACTAATGTACAGTAGAAATGGATTGCGTATCTCGAACGCCTTAAGAACTATATCCATATTAACACTATAACATATAATATAATATGAACTGCTGTACCTGAGATTGTAATGTGTCATCTAAGAATTTTAGCTTCCCTTATGAACGTATAACTATATAGATAATCTTCAGTATGTGAATACTACTTATCGATTACAATCTGCAGGTAATAACTAAATTAAAGTTTTAACAAATTTAATTTAATTGATATTGATTTATGAAATATATTTTAATATTAAAATTGTATTATATTGTGTGATTTGGTTGTATACATAGACCTTATACTCAGACTGGCCCCATGAAAAAATATAAGATCCATGTTAGAGGGCACTGGTGGTGTTCTGATACCGTTGCACAGTATAAACATTATTGTAATTTAATATAGCGCATAGTATATTTTTACTTTATGGTACATCATAATCATGCACTATAAAAGGTATGATAATTGATAGTGTACCATTATCAGACATCAACTAATTTTGATTGAGCTTTGATTTTCCTAGTTTTGATTTTTCAATGTTTATGAGTTTTAATTTTACTATACGTTTAACTTTTTATTTTAATTATTATTCAAAGTGGCTAACAAATGTCTCATACCATTTTTACAAGTTTCTATATTATGATTTATTAAAAAGGCAATATTGACTCCCCTGACAAATTTATGATTGGGTTTGACGTTAGTAATCACTGCTTAAAGAAAAATAATTTATTGTATGTTTCACTTTGTTATAATAAGTAATAACTCAAGTTTCAACTCTTTTTCCTTGAGTTCTCTCATTAGCTAACCATATATCTATTTATGTTGAATTTTCCTAATGGCACTTTATGTTTTTAAACAGAATATATTTTTAGCATTAATTTCATATTTGATTGTACTGAAATTTCTGTTTTTAATTAACCCTTACATTTATATGTCCACTTTGTTTTACCTACACTATACTTTGTTATTCCTAGTTATTTCATGTTCTTAATATTATAAGTTAAACCAGATAAGAAGATAAATTATGGATGATTCATTGTAAAATAGGGGTTTTACCCATTATGATAATTATAAATAAGTAAATAATAAAACACAATTATTGAAAAAAGCGATGAAGTAGTATTGTGGTAATATGACTTGCAGTAGTTGCAGACAGATTGGAATTTCGTACCAGTAGGTTAAATAACTTTTTAGCAGTCATGTATTTATTGGGGGGAAAATATACCATACTGAAGATAGGTTTTAGTTATTTAAAGAAGCGATAAATATTTATTGACATTTTATGGTGTAATTATTCTTCCTAGAAAAATGATTATAGTATAATATACATACTATTAAGGTTTAACGTTTTTAATTTTTATAGACAGATATTAAAAGATACCTAGTTATTAGATGTAATTTTTAGCCAAAATTCACTTGATCTTCTTTAATTATATAATAATACTAGCTGATCCCATGCACTTTGTTGCCCGTTAAAAATGCCATCTCTATATAAGAGACTCGATGGTGATAATCCGTGCAGTATATTATCAGGTGCCACCTAAGGTGGATTACAGATCCCGCTAGGTGTATTCTATATTACTATGTATATGATTATATGAATAATATGTTTTATTTTTATTTTATATTTTATTTTGATTGTGTACACTCCGATGAGCAGTCATAAGTGCAACTCAGCCTCCTTGGTAGGCAATGTGCGAAGATTCGATTTGATGCATGCTTAAACTTGTCCTGTCCAATATATTGCTTATTATGCTAGGTTATTTTTATCGATATTGAATTTTTAAAAAACTAACAATAATCGAAAATGTCTTATGCCCATAAATAGCTCAACTTGAAACAAAATAATTTTAAAATGTAATGATATAGGTATAGAAAATGCTAATATAAACATTCATTGCAAATTTTATGTATCTTCTGTCAGTTGTATTAGAGTTACACCAAAAATCAACATCGATTACGTCAAAAACCAGTTTTGTGTAAACATTCACTACAGGGAATTTTATTTTTGATCTCACCAATGATTTACTTTACCATCAAACAAGATACTGAAGTTGAAATTCGAAGCATTATTTCGACTTCTTTTGCATTGTGCCATTTTTAGTATGAGAAAAATAACGAAATACCAATAAGATAAAAATTGTCTATATGTAATTTTTGTTAGTTTTTAAAAGGCTACATTTGTTGAGTTTGGTAGCGCACACACCGGTAAATTAGTTAGTGGTCTGAAGTTTCCCAATTTCACAATGTTCTAATCCGTCCCTGATGATTTGTCATCGTAGTATTATTATTCTTAAAAAAAAATATTAATAAATTGGAGCTGAGATCTTAATTTCATCGATGAAGAATTAGGTTTATGACCATGACTAGATGAATATGTTTTACAAAGTATATTTTATTGAAAATGCTTAAATACAACACTATACATTTCAGAATTTGTGGCTAAAACGGTTTCTCGTAAATTGATTGTTTGTTTTTTAAACAAGTTTTAAATATTTATGGTTTCTCGTAAATTGATTGTTTGTTTTTTAAACAAGTTTTAAATATTTATCAGATCACTAACTTATTAATAACACTTAAAGATATAATTAATTCTCTGATCAATCCAAGTAAGGATGTGGAATATATTTATACAGTTTCAGAAAAATGGATAAGATTTATAAATTGTAGTGATATTTAAGTCAAACATATTATACATACAAATAAATTTAGAAGTATGCATGCAGTCAAGGTATAGATGCTCGCATACATGGTCAAAGGCTATTCGCTAATCACCGTGATCAGATATTAATATTAATTATCACAACATATTTATGACTAAAACACCTAGCAAAAGAGCCACAAAAACTAACAGTTGGAGTCTGAGAAAAATGTAAGAAGTAACTTCATTTTAGAAATGAATACATACTTATGAACTTAAGATTATAAAACATGGCGATTAAATAATTTTAAACCACCTAAATATCTTCAATAATACTTTATTTTAAATTAAGGAATTCTACTTTTTATTATGAGTTTAAAATATCTTAAAACTGCTCTTGTGAACATTAAATTTATTATTTTAAAATATAGGGCGATTTCTTAAGCACGCACATCCTATTTGTACCCTTAAATTATTCATACATTAAAATTCAGATTCTTGGAATTTTTAAATACCTTTCAAGATCATTTTTCAAATCATTAAAATTGTTTGTATCCTGCGATAAATCAAACTTCAGTCAAATTAGAAACTCCTTTTTTATTATTAAGCAGATATTTTTTTTTTTGAGAATCTTGATGTATCTCAATAAAAATTCAAGCTAGTAGTTCTTTAGTTATGTAACTTTATTTATGTTGAATATTTTTATTGGTTTATAATCATTGTACCTACATACAATAATATGATTAAAAATACAATTTTAATGACATATTTGAATTTTTAAATTTGATTCAATAAATTAAAATACATTTTCAGACTAGACTAATGAACCAGAAGCACAATAGAAATACTGAAGTTATTCAACAACATATCTATAAAGGAAGTATTGACTGCCTAATAAAAGTATGTTCCCTATATTTAGTATATAGAAACAAAATTTGATAGTTTAGTTCTAATTTGTCTATTTATTTTATGTTTTAGACTGTCAAGTATGAAGGAGTTGTGGCACTGTACAAAGGTTTCATTCCCACTTTTGTTCGAATGGGACCCTGGAACATAATATTTTTTATAATTTACGAAAGACTGAAAACGATCTAAGTTTTAAGCCTATGTTATTGGAATAAAATAGAGTATCCAGCAAGTTAAACTTAATATTGTTATCATCTATTTTACAATTAAGTATTATATTTATAATGGAAATATAAGACATTATTGTGAGAAATTAACACATTTTGATTCATTATGATATTTTATGTATTTTACAATTAATTAATCTTGCTTATCATACAATTATAAACATTCATACAAAACCACTTATAATTAAAATAAGAACATAATCTGTTTGCTTATTTTATTTAAAATTTCAGTTATATTTTAAGTATGAAATTAATTTGTCTTAAACTATATCTTAATTATTCACAATCTAATTGAAGTAAATTGTAATTGAAGAAAGTAACAGCAAATAAATTTAAAATAAGTGAATGTAGTGTTGTTGAATAAAATTCTGAACACAACATAATAAATAAATACCAAAGTAAAAAAAAAAACATTCCAGGTCCTGAAAATAAGACATTCCCACCTTCTTGGATTTTTTCACCAATTAATTAAAACTTATTAGAGAACAGAGTTTTACCTCTGTGATTAAATATATAAAATGCAGGTGTGTTGTGTAATGTCTCCCATGTCTTGCATTCCAATTCTTCAATAGCTCTCACTTCTTTGAAATCGCCTGCCAAGTACAATATGCCATACATTGACATAAAAAGACTAACTACACCTTGTACAAATATCTAAAAATAAATAATTATGATATAATAAAGGTGCAGAAATTATAGCAATTACTATTACATAATTAAATATTTAATGGATTCCCAATGCTTACATCAAATGGTAATCCATCAAATTCTTGTTCAGTTATTCGTAAATATGATCGATCTGTAAAATTAAAAAATATTTGTTATCTGATATGCAAAAGCAATTTTTCTACAGTATTAAAATTCAAAACTTTTGGTTAATTAGAGACTTATATTATAATCATAAAAATTTGATCTAATATTGTACTTTAAATCCAATTACAACATTAAAACTATTTTAAGAAGCCTTAGATCAGGGATAGCAAATCATTCTAACTTTAAGTGTAAAAAATTATAGATAGTTGTTTGTAGGTTCTTGAAAGACTTGACAAAAACCAGTGTTATCTGTATTTTAATTTTAAATTGTACCTAATGTTCCTTTTTAAAATAAATAAAGCATTATAACTACAACGTTAGTATTTCTTTAAGCCATAAACAAAATTAAGTGAAATTTTGGGTATTTTTTACCTCAGTAATACAATACATTTTCAAAGCTTTGAAGTGCAATAACTTCTGAGCCCTACTAGTTACGTATAAAAAATTGATATTCAATCTGTGTTTTCTTTTAACATTTGGAATATTGAATAAAAACAATTGAAATGATCACTAATCATTGCTCATAGCAATTTTATAAAACTGAATTAAGATAATTATTTTTAATTGTAACATATATTAATTTATATCTACACATTTAATAAAAACCATAAAAAAGTATATGTAATTTTTATGTACACATACAGGTATATTTTCAAGATTATTATATATTAGTTGCATGAATATAATATTATTCAGTTAATTATCGGTGATAATAAAATAAAAAATACAAAGTAAGATTTATCTTGGAATTATTTTATGAAGAATATTAATTAACACTTCAGTTAACACTGCAAGTAACTTCTCGCAATGATATTTTTTAAAGTTTTCTTTATTAATAGGGTATTATATAATAAATCGACATATTTATTATATATTAGCCCACAGGATAAGATTCTACTCGTGGCAAGATCAAAATTGAAAGGCTTAATCAGTCTATTTGGTTGGTTTTTTTTTGGTATAGCTTGTTATCACACAGTTATCATTATATCAATACAGCAATACATTTGAATATGAGAATATCATTTGAATATAAGACACATGTCTAATTTTAATTACCAACTATTTAATTTGAACTAATTGAAATTGTCTAGATTAATTAAATTATTCTATTCTAATTTTACTGACCTACAAAGCAATGACACAAAAAAAACAACAATGTAAAATCAAGAAATTCTTTTAATTTGCTTAAAATTTAATACAACTCAATATCTGGATCGGTGGCAGAGCAGTAAGCAACAACTTAAGGAGGACGTTACACCCACATAGTATACCTTAAGTAGGTTTTTTTATTCTAATATAGTATAGTATAGACATCAAAATTAAACATTTTTTATTCCAAAAATATTTCTATAGCTATATGATATCCCATAATATCTATGATATTAAATAAAATATAGTTTAAAAAAATGATGGGCAATAGAGTATTTGTAACATTTCTAGTGGGAAAGTGAAACTAGTTGGTTTTTTTGGGAAGTCAAAATTTCAGATTTTCAGTAATGCAGGGGAAAAAAATTAAGGTAACACAAGTATTTTTACGTAAAATCAGTATTCGATAAAATTGATTTTGGTTTTTGGGGTAACTCTAAAAAAAATTACTGTAGATACATAGAATTTCCCCTGAATGTTTATAATACTATTATTTTTTATACTCCATTGTTTTTAAGTATTTTAACTCATGTTGAACTATTTAGACTTTAGAGGCATATTACATTTTTCGATTATTATAAGTATTTTTTGAGATTAAGGTCGATAAAAAATTTTTTGCTGTCAAAAAACTTGAAAATGTAATACAACAGTTGAGCGTAAATTTATAATAAATTTTTTTGATTTGTTTTCTAAGCTATTAAATGATAGATATTAATGTTATCAAATCCGCCTTTAATACTTTTGTACACTACAAAAATAAGCCAAATATTGCAATCAAACAAGATTAATTTGGATACACAATTTGGAAATGAATAAACATGCTTTTTAATTTTAAAATAATAGGAATATATTTTTGAATGATTAGGAATTGCTTTTGCCTGGTCATCTTAAATAAATTGCTGTCAAAAGAAATTTATCCAATATAGGCACTACTGACATTTGAATGATTCAGAATGAACGACAATAAACTACAGGAAAACTATTAAACAAATCTATGTAAATAAATATATTTGTAATTGTCAACCTTTATTTTTTTGTACAAATTTATTTAATTTAAGGTTTTGTTAAGATTAAAGAGATGAATTATGGACAGATAATCATAATTGCATTGTTTAGAAAGTTACTTGTTTCTCACTTGATTGAATAATGTATGTACAATTCACACAATAATAGTTATTTTACTAAAATATAATATCTTTATGTTATCATGTACTTACGCTGAGCAGCTGAATACGCTGCATGCAGTAACGATAGTATACCTAGAGCGAATATTTGTCGGTACAAGTTAAACATGTCAGTGACGTTTGGAGTGCTGTGAATGTAAAAATGTCGGTTTGAAATAAGTCCAAACCCTAATGCAAGTAATGTCGACTGTAAACCACAAAAGTTCTGAGTTGCTCACATTCGACGGAATCAATATCTTGATAAACATTAAATGCTCTTATCTGTTATCTGTTAGTGAACTGCCGAATTCGGGCGGAACCACGATTGGTTTCCAAAGTGCGAACTACCACAGAACAACTGTTCTGTGGAACTACGTCCAATAAGATAGTACTATCTTAAATCGTGTTTATCACTAATAACATTTTAACATTTTGTATACAAACTGATAACACTAAACGTAGTCGTAATGAAAGTTTGATATTTTTTTTATTATTATTTATACTAGTTTTAGTTTAGTTGACGTGTTTAATATTTATAAATACAAATTAAGTCGTTGTTTATTATAGGTACATACATAATTGATTATAAGTATAGACAATTAGGCTTTAGTTAAAAAAAATGTCTTCGAAGAAAGGTTTTTTTTGTATGAATACATTAAAACAATTTGATGCATTTGCTAAACCATTAGAAGAAGTTCAAATAAAAACTGTATGGGGTGGAATCGGTAAAAAATAATTATAATTATATATATTCATGACAATGCTACTGTATAGTAGTGTAGTCATACACCATACAATATTGCTATATAATGCTATATATTCATGATACAGCTCTCATCTGTTATATTTTATGCTTTAGCTTTAGTCGAATTAAAATGTGTTTATTGTTTCATGAATATGATAAGTATCTGCATATTAGTTTTTTTTTATATATAATTGTAAATAGTGCAAAATATTCATAGATTTTTTGGTTAAACAATCAAAAGAGACCGCCTAACAGATTATAATATGTTTAAAATAATTATATTCAAAGTAGTTCCATAATTGTATATGTCTTAATAGTCCTGCATAGTTACTGTAATATTATAATCTTTATAAGTTCCAAGTTATTGTTCATGTTATATTAAAGAAACATAATTTTAAGAATATAACTTTTTTTAGTTTAAATTATTTGAATAAAAGCTAAATTAATTAAGTAATTAAATTTGTTGATCGATATGTAATTAATTAATTGATACTAAATTTGTTGAGTTATGATTTCATTATTATTAAAATTTTTTTTTGTTCAAGTGTTTATAAATGAAATGTTATTTATTGATTGTACAACTGATTAAAACCTATACAATGTTTATATGTATTATGTACCTATTTCAAGTGTGTATTCTTGTATTATTTATAACTTATAACTTATAAGCATAACATATACTAGGAATAAACGTTAATATTAAATATTATAGGGTTAAGTATAATTGTATAAATTATAAAATGTTAATCTAACATTATAAACTTAATTTCATCTGTTTGACATTTTTAAAGTACTTACAGTAGTCTTATTAAAGTTCAAAGTATAAAATATATGCATTAAAAAATACTAATTTATTTAAAATTCAAAATAACTTTTGTGATTTTAATTATGTTAAACATATTAAGTACATACTACTAGTCAAAGAATAATGTAATAAGATTATTAATAATTATATTTTCTTTATTTTCTTTTAGTTTCTTTGGTTTGTTTTCTAACCATTGTTTTTTTGATGGTGTCAAATTTAGTTGAATATCTTGACAACACTCCCACTGAAGAACTTTTTGTTGATACATCGAGAAATAAAAAGTTACAAATAAATTTTGATATTGTTGTTCCAAAGATATCTTGTGATTGTATGTAATAACTTCATTCTTTGATTAACATTACTTGCATATTTAAATCATTTTTTTTTTTAGTTCTAGTTTTAGATGCAGTTGATAATTCAGGTGAAACACATCTGCAGGTTGATCATAATATTTATAAACGGAGATTAAATTTAGAAGGACAACCAATTAGCGATCCTGAAAAATCTGATGGTAAGATTAGGTTTAAATAATTGATGGTAATATCTATTGGGTTAGGTGAACATTTTTAATATTTACTAAGTAGTAGTAAAATTTTATATATTTTTGGTTTAGATGTTGGCAGTAAAAAAACATTAAATGTAAGTTATTTATTTAAAATATTACAATCTTTAAATTATTTAAATATCATACAAAATCATTTAATTTATCTATTACCACGTTTATATATATGGTGATTAAAATATTTTAAAATAATTTTATATTGATCTTGAAGTACATTTTAATCGGATTAAGAGGACGTTATACCCACAAGTGTTGTTATAGTGTTATCTTAGATACTATAGAAAATTTAAAGTTAAAGAGATTCCATTGTGCACTGCTCTTTTTAAATGGTACAGTGAATTGAACTACTTTCAAAATTAAAGGTCAGAATATTATAAAGGGCAATTTGTAAAGTTTTTTATAATATTTTGATTTTGACTCAAGTTATGAGCATTTTAAAATGTACAAACAATTTGATATTTTGTACTTCAATTAGATATAAGCAGCACATACATGTATAATAGCCTCTTAAGGTATTTCATATAAAATATTTAATATGCAACAATTAAAATAAAATCTCTGTTTATGATTATTTTTAGTTGTAATATAAAAATTAAAATTAAATTTAACCAAGTAGAGCAATTAAAAAATGTTCTTAATTAAAACTGAATTTAATCCAGATTTTTATTTCAAGTAATTACCATAAGCAATGTGTTTTTTAGCCTGCATCTATGTTAAAATCAAATGAAACAGATAGTGCTGATAATACTGAAGCACTTTGTGGAAGCTGTTATGGAGCTGAAAGTTCAACTATTCCGTAAGTAGTATTAAAATTGTTTATCAACTCTTTGTTGACTTAGTTCAATTTAATATTTATACTGTATTTATTTTGTCTACCTTGTTAAAATTGGTAATAGTAAGATCATGCTAATAAGATTTCAACATTTCATATTATGCAAGATTTAATGTATTTAATTAATTAATATATTAATTTAAAAATATTTATTATTTAGGTGTTGTAATACATGTGATGATGTTAAAAGAGCTTATAAAATGAAAAATTGGGATTTCCGTCCTTTAAGTATAGAACAATGCAAGAATCAATCATCTCAAAATGAAATGTATGACAAAGCATTTAAAGAAGGTTGTCAACTGTATGGTACACTACTGGTAAATAGGGTAAGTAATGAAAAATAAAAAAATATTAATTTTATTCTTAATTATGAATAAGAATAATCTAACAATTATAGAATTATGTACAACTTTCTTTAATTCAAAAATATAACTTGGTCGTGTAAATAATTGTTGATAAATTTGTCTTATACAATTATTTGAAATGTAATAGTGGAGTAGAGATAAATTGTTGAGGAAAATTGATTATTATATTAATAACTACCTTTTAGGTTAGTGGAAGTTTTCATATTGCTCCAGGGATGAGTTTTTCGTTCAACCATATGCATGGTAAGTATAAAAGTTAATTATAATAGTTTCATAGTACTTAAATTGTTTTCTTTTTAATTAATATGTTGGCTATTAAGAGTGTAGTTATTAAAATACTAGATGTATTCAGTGTGAGCCTGGCCATTGTCTATGGTCGTGTTTACGTCAGGAATCCACAGGGCCCAAGACTTATAAAATATTGTCATGTAACTACTGATTGTCTTTTGTGCACAATTTACTCATAGGTAGATGAAATAACATACATAATATTGTTTGAATATTACTGACTGCTGTAAAATAATAAAATATTATATTATAATCATTTGTTTTCTTTTTTTTGTGCAGAGTAATTCATTTTTGCATAGAATATTGAAATGTTGATATTTATAATAAATTCATCATAACTTAGTTGTTGCTGCTGTGAATATGACAGATACTTGTAGGAATACACAAATCTCTGATTTGTTCCATATACCTAAATTTAATTAAAATTATGGCAAGAACTCATTTTTCATAAGAGCCCTTTTTAATGCCAATAAAATCTCCACAGTCTTTGATTTTATAAAGCCAACTTTTTAAAGCTATAACACTGTTATTTTTAAAACATATTTAATAATAAATTTTATAATTTTGTTTTATTGATATATTTATTTTTATTACTTTTTGTTCTTTTTCTGTCTTTTCTAGTCAATTGTATTTATATTTATCACTTTATTATTTTTATTGTGCCAAGTATTATGTAATGTTTTTATTCTCTTGTTAAAGGGCTTATGCCCATTGTTTATAAATAAATATACCCATATCGCTGCAAAATCCGGTATACTTTTTAAAAACATTTTCAACCAGTGTCATACTGACATAAATAAGGATCTAATAGGGACCTACAGGTAGTTATAAAAGATAATACAACTGAGAACAGAAAGTATGCCATATCATGGAAATTTTTGATGGCGGTTATTTGTGGATTCTAATTTCTAATTTGATTATATTGATGATTAGTAAGAATAACATTTTTTTCATACTCATGTAAATTTTATGTACCTATACTATTTTATTTTATTTTATTATTTTCATATTAAGATGATGTCAGTGTTCAATGGTCTCTTAAACCAACGTACCAAATTTACATTTAGCAGAACCAATCACACTCGGTTACTATTAATAGAAGAGCAAATTATTCTATAATCAAACTTTAAGTTAAAAACTTTATTTGTGTCGCTACATTGGCTTTTTTAAGATATTTAAATTTGTATGCGATATACAAGCGTTTATAATTTGTAATAATTTACATTCTTAACTTACATTAAAATAAAAATATAAAATAGCCAACCTAGCAACATGGGTAATGTTCTCAACTTATACTTTGATGATGGGTGAATTCACAATAGCCTATAATACTCAATGTAACAACAGGGTACAATGATTAGTTTTGCTGAATGTAAATTTGGTATGTTTCACATTAGCTGAGAGAAAACAAATTGTGCAATGACATTCTATTAATAATAAAAAAATGATAGTTAATTTACCCATGATAATTTAATGAATAGATTATATTCTATTAGTGTTTCAAGGCTTTTGTATTTTTTAAGCATGGGTCTATATATTTTTATATTATTTTATTAAATTTGGATTTATATTTTAGTTCATGATGTACATCCATTTTCATCTTCATCGTTTAACACAACTCACATAATAAGACATTTATCATTTGGTCAAAAATTGGAATCAATTGCTACAACTCATGGAGGTAATCCATTGGACTCAACTGAATCTATTGCTGGAGAAGGTAAATAATATATATTTTTATATTTAAGAAAAGTAAGAATAATGTATTGGTTCAAATATTTTTTTTAAATTTAAATACAAGTGTTTTAATAATTCCAAAAATAATTTTTCTTCAAATAGATTATTTTTCTTTTGATTTTTGATTTTTGTAGTCATAAAATACATAATCGAGGATAGATATTTAATATGTCTGTACAGTAGTTTTGTGTAGCTATTTCTTTAGAAAATTGAGATGCTTTTACTTTTGGTGGAGATGCAATTTATGAAATTTATGAGTATTCTACTGCTTTATTCTGAATGTGTGAATTGGAAAATTATATTTCAATTGATATGTTCAATGACCCTTACTTTATAATTTTAATTTCATTTCATTATTTTGAAAACTTATTTCACATACAAAGTTTATTAATGGTTTTGAAATGAAAATATAATTTAAAATTTGAATACACTTAATTTAATTGTAAAATATGTTAGAGTTAGTGAGATGTTCTTATATGTATAGACGTGTAGTATGTTACATTAGTCAATATAAATATTACAGTACATTTTTATATTTTATTTAATTCTTTAGTAATTATTTTTTATATTAAAAATATATTGCAAACTTTGTGTTATATTAAAATTGATTATTGATACTGTTTCAATGAAACATAATTTGTTTTTAAATTTGAATGTGTAATCCTCTTTTAGTGGAAAAATAGGTTTTGAAATAACTTTACTCTGTTTCAAAAGAAACATATCATGCAGCCACCAGCAGGACTGATTCGGTATACACCTGGTGCCAAAAATCACAGCTACATATTGCCTCTTCTGCTAACTGTTCTATAGTTTATGACATTGGAAAACCATTAAATTGACCCTCCATGTAAATAATATCAATTAAAATGTTTACAAATTGAGCACTGATTATTAGGCTGCCTACAGCCACCAGTCAAACAGTGCAAATAGTTGTAAACAATTTGAAATCGGTGTATAGCTTTCACCGGTGACTATCGTTACAAGCTTAATTCCACATTTTGACTTAAGTGGGGGAAATTGGCTTTGAGACTGCCATCAGGTACCAATCGTCATGTGCCAAAGTGGTATATTCACTTTTGAATCAGTGTATAAGTATGACATCTAATAAATATAATTTGAACATAAACTAATAAAATTGGTTTTACTAAAATTATAAATCAAATATATTACACATGTATACTGGTAGTTATTGTTATCAATTTTTTGAATACGAAGCAAATGAGTTTATAATAAATTCAAGTTCAATGCAATTAAATCTACTAAAACATGAAAAACGACATATATTTAGTTATCTTGAGGTATAGGTGTATATTAGTATGATTTGTGGTTTTAGACTTGACTGTTTCCTTATAAGTAATCTTATACTATCAAAATATTAAAATCAATTTTGATATTTTAAAATGTCCATCAAATTTCATCACCCACTCACAAGTTGATTGTTCTCTACTTCAATTTTACACAAACGCTTCTCAGTCTGTAGATCTAATAAATATAGATAAGTGTAAGTGTATTAAAAATTACACTGTAGTATTATTCATAAATTCTTTCAATTCATTATTCTTGATGGAATATAATATAATTTTTTTTTTTTTATTAGAAAAGAATGAAATATTTCAAAATACATTTTTCAACATATTTAAAAATGATTATTACATAAATTTAAGGGTACATCATTTTATTTCACGAAATGTATTTAGGACAAACTCTTGAAGTTTAAAACCTTTCCTTACTTTCCAATTTTAATTATTCCAAGTATATATTTGGCTCAACTGCAATAATGCCCCTTTTATGTTTTTGTACATAATTTAATAATTGTAATGGTTAACTAATTTACGAACAAAAATAAAATAGAATACTCGAAAATAATGTATATTTGCTATTAAATTTAAAAAAAAATATTATCGGTACAACTTAGTTTTTGACCTGTCTAATTTACCATTGGACATTAGTGAGTCATTAATTATGACAGTTTAGTATACCTTCAAATTTCAGTGGTATGATTTTTGGAAGAATAGGGATCAAAGAGCAATTACCTTAAAGCCTTGACCTAATTTTAAAAAATCCTGTTGATTGCTAGGATTCATTGATGTGAATATCTCCGTGAGAAAAAAGTGAATTAAAAATATATTATTTTTAAAAATTTTTTTACCTTATATTATTCTGTAATTTCTATTATAATTTTTGCCTATTGTAAGTTATTGTGTATTTAAATTTTGGTTTATAGACAGATTTTTAACTTTATTAATATTTAATATGGACCGATACGGGCAAGAAACTCAAAAACTATTAAACATGTCCCATGAAATAGGCATGGTGGTGGTTAGGAAATTATCCATACATATTGTAAAAAAAGAACTGTAAGAGGAACAAAATATTAATTTTTTGTAAAATGGTAATTTAAAACTGAAATGACGCACTTCAAAAATACTACACTTCTTATTTATTTAAAATGTAGTATTATCTGAATTTCAACATTTAAATTTTAAATAGGACAGTGATAAATAGTTTCATTATAATTCAATGGTAAATATAATTCATGAATATTCAATTTAACTAAATGTAAATTATTATATCAATTACAGAATAATTTGTATACTATAAACACTAATATACTAAAGAAAAATGTATCATTTATTGTAGTTTGTATCAGAAATTAAGTTTTACACAAATAAAGTTTTAAAAAGTATCTAATAATAAATAAACAGTTATTAATTAACATCTAAGGGCAGCGCCAACACCCATAAACGTGCCAAATGTTCCGCCACTCTGCAGCATCGTTTTTCCCATACTGCCAACGAGCTCTCGACCCCTGTACCCTGACCTATAGTGAATAATAATTGCATTTAGAAATGTACTTTATAATTCTATTGTAAATATATGTCGAAAATACCTCAAGCCTCCTAAACCACCAAATAGAATTCCAATAGTTATTCCGATTGTGGCACCCATCATAAATGAAGTGGATACTCTGTCGTAACACGATGGTTTACCTTGACCTCCGTACAAACTTCCACTCGGCACTGGCATTTTTTCGTTTTTCGATTTGGAAGTTTAAGAAATATCAGAATTAAAGAAATGAAATTGACTCGTTTAGTCGTAATGTTGAAATGTCCATGCAGTTTTTTTCACTGTTAATGTTATCACTTATCATACATGAATGCTTCGTTATCAGTTATTATAATGTGGGTTATGCGTTAACTTGATTATTGGACGTAATGTCGCGACGAACAATATGTTAATTTTGCAATAATATATTTAAATGGATTCCTTTTACTACGGGTTTTACAATTTATTTACTTCTTAAAGAAAATTAAGAAAACATTAAACAATAAAACATATTATGCACTATATGTGATAACTATAGGCGGATATAGAGTTTGAGATTCGCGGGGAGGGCTGAAACCCCACTATAATAATATTGAATCCGCTTAAAAGTGTTTTAGGAAATGTTTGACAGGGCTTAGTCTCTTAATACACCTATAGGAGGTACCTAATTGGAAGTGCCTTCTATTTGCACCTAGGCTTGTAAGTTAAAACTAAAAGAAACCCAATTACTTTGTAAAGAATGTATTGAATTGCCTATTATTTATTATAAAAAAATCATCATTCCTTGTTTACGTAATTACCTATTGTGTTTTTCAATTCATAAGTTCCTGTGGTGTATTTAGCTTTTTTTTTAGGGGGAGTTGACAAAAATTTCAGTTTACATAGTTCTGCAAGTCCGAATAAAATTATATTTTTCAGTTTTTACTTACTATGTTTATAGAATTTGTAAATTTTTTGTAAATTATTCAAGTATGATATTAGTTAGCTGGTATATTTGGCCACTAGCTTTACCTAGTGATCGGTAGTATTTAGGGAAGTTAATTTTTTGGTAATTAAATTATATTATTATATTATTTTATTACCTTTTAAAATGTTAATTAAGTTATTCTTAAGTTACTTCTTTTTGTCTGGTCAATTAATATAGCCTTTGAGTTAGAAAAGTAACTTCACTTCAATGAAAGTTTGATTTAATTTTTAATTTTCAAAATATCACGAGCATAATAATTAGGTATGTTGTTAACATTTAATTGACCAAATCAATGAGTAATGACAATCAAAAAATATAAATTTTATAACATTTTTATTTAAAAACAATAATTATTAAACGTGTTTATTCTTTATATTTTAAATTTATTGTAATTAGCAATGCATTTTCCTAATTTATACTTTTGTCAAATAGCTATTATAAAAAAAGTCTTTATCAGAAAATTATTCAATATTTGATACGACATATTCACATATTATACTATCATTTGGTTCTTATGTTTAAAACAAAAAGTAATTTAGTAATTTTACTACAAAAAAGTATCTTATATTATGTATAAGTTACTTACAATAAAATTTAATTAATTTACCATTCAATTATTTTGTTACACTAACTTGTAACTTAAATGAAGTTATTTCCCTATACTGGTATCGGCCTTAGGAACACATAATTTTTTAATACAATTTTTTTGAAATTAACAAAATTGTTTGAATATGATAATTTAATTTATAATTCAAAATTATCAATTAATATCCTTACATTATTATTGATTTTATAATATTCAATAAAATATGTATACAAAGATCTATGGTTGTGGATTTTTCCCTGTCATCCGCTTCCATAAATATACCACTGCTAAGTTCAAGATTTTGGAATGTTCAGTCACATCGTTCACAGTTAAAGAAATATTATTTTAATGTATAACCTATATTTGAAATAGCTGATTAGTTGTTAATTTTAAGGTTTAATTAATTACAATAATTGCTGTGTCTATACTCTATTTATTGTTTTTCTAATGATTTTGTCTTTATTTTTTACATTTTAAATAAATTCTATATTACCGAATACTTATATATTCTAATGTTACATGATTGATATAATAGTTTTCAATAATTGTATGGATCACTCATGAAATTACTTCTATAGACTATAAAAAATTCTCTGAGCTAAGTTCAAGCCAATTCAATTGTGTTTACCTAAAAATATATATTTCGCTTGTAAACAAATGAACTGTTATTGTAACATTTTAATTTTAATCTAATTATTAATTTTTCCTATCAAAAGAAACTGACAGTTGTATAATTTAAAAATTATATGAATGCTCCAAAATTTTTGATTGTTTTACTACTGAAAATAAAAATTAAAAAAAATAATTATAGGTAACTTGTGCCACATCTACATACAGTTAGTTACCCCCTTTATTGGGTTTAAGTTACAAATAACAACAATAAAAGACAAATATAACTATATAATATTTTCCAATTCACTTAAATCTTTTATTAATGCTTTAATTGTGTAAACAAATATGACTACACTTTTAAACTTATTTCTAAATTATTACAATAATACCTAAAATAGTTTGTTGGTTGTTTCTCTTAATTAGTTTTGAATAAATTCTATTTTATTAAAAATATTAAATTAAATTATCTAATTCTAATTTTAACTGTCTACTCTATTTATAGGAGCAACAATGTTTCAGTATTATATAAAAATTGTTCCAACTCTCTATCAAAGAAGAGACTTATCAATATTTTCTACCAACCAGTTCTCAGTGACCAAACACAAGGTAAATTTTTTGCTTCACTTTATTAAGTATTGTATTGTGTTTTTATCGACTTAACATATTATGATTACACTATAATTTAAATCTCAATGGATGGATATTATATTTAAAAAAAATGTGTGTTTGATTTTGCTATTGTTATTTTTATTCACTGATTATTTTATATTATAACATTAATATTTGTCTAATTTAATAGGTCCAAGCATTCGATAAAGGTCCATCAGGCGCCCCTGGAATATTCTTTAGCTATGAATTTTCACCTATTATGATCAAGTTGACTGAAAAGCCAAGGTATGTACTTCAATTTTTGAAATGTGTACAGTGTACATCAAATATACTTTTTTGATTTTATACGCATATTGTTATTGGATATTGTATTAATTTTTTGTCTTGTTTAATTTAGGTTATTAGGGCATCTGTTCACTCAGTTTTTATGCAATATTAGTGGAGTTTTTATTTGTTTTTGGATCATTGATATATTTATGTACAAAGTATCTAAGGTGTACAATATACGCAAGAAACAACTACCTAATTCTAATAATTAAAACTTATTATTTTCTGTAATATCAGTGGCATGTTTTAGGATACTTAGGTGAGTGGCTTATTAAGAGTTGATCCTTTAGTTTTTTTGTTGCAATATAATTCAATTATTATATGGAATATATATAGTGGAAATGTGAAAGTATTTGTCTAGGATAGTGGTCTCAAACATGTTGCTCATGAACCCTTCTGGTGTGGCCCCCAATCAACATTTATTTCATCAAAAGTTTTGGAATTTGTTTTTGAATAAAAATAAATAATTACTAAACAAAAAATCATTATTTACACCTTTGTAATACTTAGGTATTACACTATTACTAGTATTGAATGCAGTTATATTATAATAATAAATTATAATTAATTGAAGAAATACATTTTGTTTTAATTTATTTTTGATTTAATATTATGATAAGGAAACAACAGGTTAAGAGGATATTAGCACCTTTTTTCTTTTTCTGATTCCCACGCTTCATAGACAAAACACATTTATGCTGAATCACCTAAAATTGTTTTTATATATTTTTTGAGTAATCTTAGTAAATCACCCATTACAAAAATAATACTGAATAATATTTTTGAAAGTATGAAATGTAATATATTGATTTGTATCTATAGTCAGTCATAGGCTTGCTAGACGTGCAAAGACGTGTTTTGCTCCAAAACCTTTGACATATATTTACTGTATGACCGGTAATTTAAGTTCGAGACTACTGTTGTAGAGGATAAAATATTTTTTACAAATTTCATAATTATATTTAACAATTGAAGAATTGCCACAAACTGTTACAATATGACTCAAACAAATTGAGGTTCAATAACAAACCATAGTGTCACCTACATAAATGTGGAGAGGACACGTGATCTTTGAAACCGGCTCTTTAATTGTCTCTGTTTCATGCGACAGATTTTATTTAAATAGCTTTTTTTATTTTTAAGGCCTCAAATTTACCAAAATAAAGCCCTTTCCTCCCAAAATGTCTCCTTAATAAAATAACTTTTAATTATATACTTCAAACGAGTTTTAAATTGTAACTGTATGAAATGTACACTTGTTCTTTTTGTTTATGTCATTATTACAATTATTATTTTAGTTTTATATTGTTTAAAGTTGAGATACTACAATATTATTGATCTTTGAATCTCATTAAATAATAATAATAATAAAAACTGAGGAATTGTTTTTATTAACAAATAATGTTTAAAGTACAAAAATTGACACCTAACCAAAATATGCCACTGATAAAAATAATAAAATAAATTATTGTATCGAAGAATATTTATTAAAAAATTCAAAAACATGATGTTTATTTATTTAGTTAGTTTATTTATCATAAAAATAAAATTATTTTCTTTTTTTATTAAAAGTTTTACTTTTAGGTCCAGCATAAAACTTAGGTTTACGTAAGTTCTTAGGACCCTTTCTGATTACACTTTGTCTTTCTTTTTTGTGTTTTTCTGCTTCTATGTCAGCTTTTTTATATTTCTTTTCCTACAATAGTAAAATATGTCAATACACAATGAAGTTTAACAATTAGTACTCATTTTGTATATACCTTTTGTGTAGAAAATGTGAACTGCCGATTACCACTAGATAGCATTTTGACTGAATTGAAATGTTCTGAATTCATTCTTTCACCCAATGTTGCACTAATATATAACAATTTTATAAGTATAATTACATACTATAAATTATGAATTGGTAATAATTATTTTAATTTATAAGATGGGTTACCTAGAGTTTTGAATAGAATTTAATCTATTACTATTGGACCCCACAAATTCTTCTCCTTCTTTAATTTCATAGAATTTTGGTGGTTTAATTGCACGTTCACCTTGTACACTTAAATTGTTATCATCACTATCATCGTCATCATTACTATCTTTTTCTGATTTATTACGTTCCTCACGCTCAGTTGCTATTCTTCTTCTCTTAGCTGATCTATACTCAGACTTTAATTCTTTAGCCCATTTTTGGTCATCATCTGAACTATACTCATCACTACTTTCTTCTGAACTAGGCTTTCCTTCAAGTTCATCCTAAAAAATTGTTTAATTTTTTTTATGTTATGTGTGACGGAACGTTAACATATATACTTTAAGGAATCTTTTATTAAAATTAAAAATATTTACTTCAACTGGATCAAATTGTTTTTGGATTTGTGATTCAAGTTCCTTTTGCTTAGATTTATCTAATCGTTTCAAAACCGGATTTAATAACCTATAGATCGTATAAAATGTAATTAGTATAAAATACAAAGCATAATCTAAATTCATGAGATACTGAAGTTAACTGAGTTAAATGTAATATAAACAATTTAATGATATTGAAAATATATATTACTTGTATTCTTCAGCATTTGTATCAACTTGGAAAGATGGGTTTTCAAACAATGCTTTAAACCGATCATCTTTCAATAAACTAATGGCATCTTTGGATTTATTATTTTTCTTTCCTTCTTTTTCATCATTAATTAATTTCAAAGCAAGTTCTTTATTAACAGGAGGTAATTTCTGAAAATATTTAAATAATATCAGTAAGTATAGTTACATTATTACCAAGTTAATATTTTTTTATACTTGAACTTGGACACGATTAGTTCTTTCTGATTCAATTTTTTCTCTTATCTTTTTCCTACGATATTCTTCATAAGCAAATGGTTCTGCGACAGATTTAGCTTTCCTGTACAGTCTGATGTCCACAAAATATCCATGCATATATGCTTTTAACAAATTTGTTCCTAAAAAACACATTTTTAATGTTTTTATTTCATGAAATGTATATCTTAATAAATTAAAAATGTATTGTACCTATTAAATGTGATAAACCAAGTTCTTCTAGTTCATTCCGAGTTACAAATTTATAATCATCATAGACAGTTTCTTTTTTAGTTTCCTCCAACTCCTCAACTAAAGCATCTAAAAATCCACACCATCTTGGAGCTGGCCCTAAGCTCTAAACATTCATAGATACATATCAGATTTTTATGTTAAGTTATTGTCTATAAAATAAAACAAGGTTTATAAAAAACAAACCGGTATGTAGTGTGTTTGAATTTTTGTGTTTTCATTAGCAATGAACATCATTCCGGTTTGTGGAATAACACAGAGGTTATTAAATTGAGTATCATTACCAGATTCAAGAGCAGCAAATAACTTACCCTGTAAAACCGGATATTTAATATATATATGTACAATTCTTAAAATAAATATAGTAAAAGTTAAATTATTAGTAAACAATACTTACAGTATCCTTATTCCATATTTTTACTGATGATGAGTCCATGGATAATACATTTTCATCTTGGAATGCAATATCTCTAATAGGTAACCCAAATAAATGATCTTTAACCCTAAATGGTTTATTAGAACGCAAGTCATATAGAAGTATTTGGCCTGTGGCAGTACCAACACCTAATGTTAAAGCATTTTCAAATGCCAGAGCAGTAATGGATGGAAATCCGTCAGCACTAAAATAAAAGAGTTAACAGTAATTCAATCGAACTATAAAAGTTATTATTCAACTTACGCAATATTTGTGTCATTTGTAACTGAGCTTAGAGCACAATCTAGAACTCCGATACTGACATGAGCTCTAGGATCCCATGCTTCAACCTTTCCTTCCTTAGTACCAGATAAAAGCATATTATGTACAGGATTTATAGCTAATTTGTTAATTTCATCGCCAGCACTGGATACAAATGGGTTCAAAAACTGCCCTCTATCTAAATTTAATCTATAAATATCGGGACTGAAAAAATATCAAACATAATATTATTTGAAAAGTTAGGATGATGGAAACTCGCATTTATCATGAGTATTATTTAATTTATTATAAGTTTTTCATACAAGTTATTATTTTTATAATTATAGTTTACTATTTACCTATTTCCTCCAATATATAAGTCACATGTTGGATAATGATATTTCATATCTTGGCCAAATTTTGGAATACGTAATCTATAGTAGCGTCCTTCTTGAGAGTGGAATTCAACATAACGGTCACATTGTAAGATCACAAACTTAAAATAAGACATAAAACAAAAAGATATACAAATATTTACATTATTGTTAAAATTATCATAATGTAAATACTTTGCTATAATCATTAGAGAGTATTTCAAAAGTAACAGCTTCAGAATCAAAACATCTTTCAAATTTCATAGCTAAATTGTTGACATCATAACATTTAATCCTGGGCTTATAAATACCAGTAGCCAAGATGTATTGCCCATCTGGTGTTACTTTTACTGTTGTACTTAGACCAGGCATATCAAAGTCTTGCAATAATTCAATTCGCCTTTTCAATTCTAAAAAAATTAAAAATTAAATATATATTTAGACAAAAAAAAAAAAAATAACAAGAATTTTTAAAACATAACATTATGACAATAATTACTAAGGGTCTTTTTTTTTATGTGAATAATAACATATGTAAAAGATACCTTGAATACATGAATGTATCAAAATAAAACATGTATGTTTGGTAAACATGAATTGATAAATGCCAGAACACGAATTGGTGTCATATTCTTGAAAATAATTTTAATTGGTATCAAAAAAACATTTTTACTATTAATTGTTCCTATCAAAAATAGTGACTAAGTGTACAAAAAATAATAATTGTTAGCTAATGATTTCTAGAAGATGGTCAGATATTCTGTTACCTAACCTCACTAGTTATACTTTGTGTTATTGATTATTAAATTAATTTCTCTATTTATGATATGAGTAAAATCATCTTTAACCTATGAATAAAAATAAAAACCAAGTAAGTGAAAACGTGAATGTAATAATTCACGGACACACGAGAATAATATTATAAATTTATGGCTTGGTGTGGCACAGTGTTTGTTGAGCTACAAGCCTTCAATCACAAACATGTTCTAAGTGCCAGCTCGGTTTGGTGTCACTAGTTCTCAAATGGATGACCACCTGAGTTCTTAGCGACAAATTCTTGCCATATATATAACCATATATAGTTTTAATCAAACAACTATAAGAAAATGTTACTTTTAATGATTATAAAATCTAAATTTTGAATTTTGCTTTTGAAAGACCAAAAAATTGTTTGAGTCATTCGTTCTGCTATAATTGTTTTGAAACTGGAATATCATTAAATTATTTATTTATAATTAGTTGAGCAGTTTCACAGTCATTTGAAAGGGTGGGTGGGTTAAAAAATTATTTAAACCAGTGAGACAATATATTTTTAACTATTTAAAAAAAAAAAAACATTATATAACAATTTATAAATAATGTATATTAAAGAAGTATTTCATTCTATTGTATAAAAAAAATTAAATAAAAATTAATTCATAATAAAAATAAACTTTATTTATTATACATAATAAATATTTAATATTTATACATCATCCTTGCACTGATTAAGTTACCAAAAACAAAATATTTGGGGAAAATGCACTACAGCAGGATTATGTCTCGGGTAGGTATTTTGGAAGGTTATTCTGAAACGAGTGAATTTGACCTCGTTAGTTGTACCTCAGTTGAAAGTTAATTAAAATCAAAAAAATCTGAATACGAATAAAACTCACTTAAGTCTGTTGATGATTTCGAGTATTTACTTAGAATTAAGAGGTACAATAATGATATTATTTTTTGGTTTTTAGAGAAACGTTATTGCCATTGATTAAAATCTAAACATAAAGTTATAAAATAATTGAAAATGCTATTGGTATCGATGTACTGAAATAATGTTTAGGACAATCAGTAATAATATTTATACATTTTTTTTCCTGGGAAACTTCTGGAAAGTCTACACTTCCTTTGACATTTTCTCTGTTATAGTAGTCTAGACTATACCTAGTAGTTCACATATTTGAAATAATCTTTTTTTTCACAAGCTTAAGTCAAGGTATAATATAATATTTGACTCACCAGGATTTTTTTTTAATAATGTTCTTCTTTTTCTTTCGGAAAGCCACTATAACAAAATTTGTAAAATTCATACTGTTATATTAGATAAAAATGTTTGTTTTAATTTTAAAATTACATTTGATTTTTAATATTACTTAGTATATATACATTTTTTAGTATGATAACCATTTTACAATAAATGTGCGTATAAAATAAAAAAATTCTAAAGGCAGCATTTTGAAAAACATCGTTTTTTGAACATGGTCGTCACAAGGATAAAGATTGAAGTCGGGGAAAATATATAAAGAATAATAAATTAAAATTAAATAATTCAGTTACAACAGTTTGATTTTGTTAAATTTGTTTATAATTTGAAGTATACAAAACTACACAGATGAACCTTTCAATAATACAATATTGATGATCATATTTGTTAATGTCTCAAGTTATAAAGTTATACAGTGACATAGTTTTTATTCATAATCGACATGAACAAATGTGTATAATGTAAATAGGTACAATACCGAAATACAAAACGTGCATTTACAAATAAATATATTTCGTTATGAACAACTCACTTCTGGCAATGATTTTCCACAGCTTAGATTGTAAATTAATGGGCTGTCCATCGTTTGAGGATATTACTATTTGTACGGTTTAGTTGAAAACACTAAATTTCGAATGAGCACCAACACATTTTTATCATCACACAAGACAGTTGTAGTTGTAGACACAAATTAACAAGTAACAAGTAACAACAAACACATGGCCAACGAGTGTTATCAGATTATATCGATTACTAATCACAAATCAGCGTTTGATAATAAAATAGTATTATGTTATTATCCACTATGGCACTATCTAGTATCAGCTACTGCGCGATCTTCGAAGATAAAAGATTTTATAGTCAAGACCCGGAGACGTCCGCACTCCGTGCTCTACTGTGAATCTATTATGAGTCGCGAGGTAAGCAATTAATATTATTATTAATTATTCAAATAATTATTTTTCCTTTGGATCGCGAAGTTAAGATTTTTAGAAAATAAAGAATTATGATTATTATTTTAAAATTGTTTTTGAAAGTTTGAAGTCGAAAACAATAGTGTTATGACCAGTCGATATCTGTTTTCATCATTGTACAATACGTAAATGCCGATAGGACCAAATAGACGAGAATGACTACAATACACTATTGACCGATGTGAAATCCGATCCCTACATTTTAATGAATTTTTTCATTATCGTCGTTTTGGAGCTGGTACTGTAAACAGAGACCGTATCCATCATTTTTATTCCCGAGTACGTTCTTCCAGGTTAAATGTTAATATTATGAAATATCATAATATTGTATTTAATCCGTTATAATTTTATAAATATTTAATTTCGCACAATACGTAGTTCTTCAAAATGTGTGGCGGTGCAAACAACGACGTCCCCACTACGGACGATAACAATATTGTGGTTATCATCATTGGTCTATTAAGCGTTCGTGTCAATAAAGAACTGATAGCTACTCACTGGAATACTGTAAATTTCTTATTGTTGTCAATATTTTCGTCGTTGTGTGTTATGAGTGTTATGACTGTATACAATTAGTAAAAACCCACTTATTAGTTATTACTGTTATTATTTTATCTCTAAACTCGCTTAGACGCTTAGAGTATAGTGTCAAATTAATTGTTTAAATAGGGTTGACGTGTTTAAAATATTGCGCTTAAGTCTTGTTCACTTTTTTTTTTTAAATTTTATTAATCAAGACACTGTTGGGGTTTGGGCAAAAAAAAAATTGGAAATCACCTCGTATTGATTAGTGGCTACCTAGTACATATTTTCAAATTGTGAGTAGTTTTGATATCATATATATTAATATATAGGTCGATATTTTTCTATTCTTATAATTTATAATGATGTGTTGCATGAAAAACAATTGTTGGTTTCTATGCTCAGAAAATGAGCTCTATTGTAGTACCCAAATAAGATATGGTTTGTTATATAATTTAACTTTCAAAAATAGTATTCGTACAATGTAAAACAGTTTTTCTGTGACCTGAGTGGTATTAAAACCAACTTCCGAATTATAACAAGTCTCATGTGTTGTTACAATTATTTCCAAAGTGTCTTGGCTTTTCCGAGCTACAAAACTTTTAAACTATTTGAAACTGTCTGAAGATTAATCTGTTGACATTTTTTGTGTATTATCTTGCAGAGGGAACTGTAGGTATGAAAAAGGGGTACTTTCCTTTGACATGAGACTGGCTATAAATCTACTGCTGTAGTATAGCCGAGCAATATCCATAAGCTGCAATCATATTTATTATGTATATTATAGAATGTTTGATGCTTCGTAACCAAAATCTAAATTTAATATATTTGCTCATTTGTTTGGATATTATGACAATTAATTTTTTTCAGTGACAACTATAAGGGAAGGGTGACATGAGTGGTAAATCGACCCCTCCCCCCAGACCATTTTTTATTATTATCTTAATTATTGTTAGTTTATCAAATACTTAACTATTTTTAAACTACACAATTAGTATTAAATCGTTATTAAGTTTTGCCCATTGGAGATTGATTGGATTTTGGTATCAGCTGAGTTGAAAGCAAGTTAGATAAAATGTCATTAAATAAATTGAACTTTTATACAGTATGATAGATGTCCTTTCAATCAACTACAAAGATTTATGTCCAATTTTAAAATTTCTTATTAAAATATTGTGTAGGTATCCAGGTACTTTCTGTATCGACAGATACACCTGAACATACATTTTCTATGAATTAAACTCAATTTAATTGTTTACAAGAAATGAATTATTTTTTTTTATGCTAGACATCTAGAATTAATGAATTATCTGCTATGTTCACAAATAGATGTATTGTGTTTTATATTGATGCAATTATTGACAAACTAGCAAAGACACTGGTAAACGGAAAAAGGTATCATAAAAAGTTACCTATTAAAAATACATATAAAATATAATGTAAATTATAGTCAATTACTTAGTTAATAAATAATGTGAATAGTAAAAAAATATAAATATTTATAATATACAATAATTTTACAAATATTTTGAGCTTGATTACCTGAATAAAAATTCATATAATTTAAAAATCTATTTACTCAAATATAAAAGATCATGTTCTTATATCTTGACCTATTTTCTTTAAGAATGAGGAATATCTGATTTATCTTCAGCAAAACGTTGACATACAATGTTCAATCGATTATCCACTGTTTGTTTTTCTTTCTTTCCTGAATGTATGTCCAATAACATTTTCATCAAATTATCGATGTAGACTTTTGTTCCAAGAGTTATCCAAGAAAATTTTCCTTAATATCCAAAAAACGAATGAAACTTGAAATTTTGATATAAACTATTAAACTTTTTATTGAAATATGATAAAAATATGTTTTTCTTGCTATCATTGACAAAGATCCATATGCCTTCCCCCCAAAAGAGTCCTAGTTATGTTTTTATTAACATATTTAATTAAATCCTATTAATAAATAACTAAATAAGCTTAGGTATTAACCATAAACTTCTTATTTACATCATATAATTTAATTAGTTTTTAGTTACAATAATATACCTAGTAATAACATTTTTTTTTCAGTTTGGACAATCTGTAAAATGAGACACGTAAATCCACATTCCATGTCAAATAATTCACCGTGAGTAATTAGTTGGCTATTAAATAATATTTTATATTCATTTCTTGTTATTCTTAATATTTTTATGTATTAATGACCAACATAAATATTTTACTATTTAGATGATTTATAACTATCTTTTATTTATGTTTGACTTCTTTAAAAAAAAAAAATAACAATTTAGGATGTATTGACTTTTGTTACCTTTTTAGAAAATATTGTTATTAGAATACCAAATACATAGATAAAAGAGTATAACAGTAAAAAATACTTGAAATTTGCTTGTGAAAAGAAAATGCTCCGGGATGTTTGCACCATCATTGACATGGTTTATCATCATAGTGCATGATTATATAAGGATAATTTTGCACCTATTCGGATATGCAAATTTCCAGATACTGACAAATATAATTAACTAAGTACCTATGGAATAAATTTTAATTTTTGTGATTATTAATAATTATTTACAAAACGTTAAAAAAATATTGATTGGTTCAAAAGTTATTACATATTTACTTAATTCAATCTGTTATTTCTGCCTGTGACTCTATGTATGTATATTAATTGTTACTAAGGTATTATCAACATTTCATATTGTTTATTTGGTTTTGCGACTGCACTATTATTATATTATAATTATTTAAAATAATGAAACTAGTTACCAAACCATAGTGTTTTTTTCTATAACTTAATTGCCAGCATGTTTGATTTCAGGAGCAAAAGTCAAAATATGAGTTCACAGCCAGTTGAAACAGAATCTGATGTTACTGAAACTAATGATAGTGATACTGCTGATTCATATCAAGTTGTTTCAAGTACTACTGATGATCTATTGTTAAAAAGTAAAGGTACTATTATTAATTTATAATATCTTTATTCTCAACTTTTACTTTTAAGATCAATTTTTTTTTGTAATCTGTTGAAATTTTAATGTAAAATTTTAAAATTATTTTTTTTTTAAAACTTTTTTCAACTTACACTTAGCAAATTAATATGGAATTAATAGATGTTAATTTTAAGAGAAAATACAATAATTTGTTTCTAACAATCAATGGGAAGTTAAATAAGTATATTGATTACATGAGTTGAGTTTAGTCTACAATGGTGCCTACAGCAAGGAAAACATTATGAATTAATTATTTCATAACTAGTGCTTGAAATGGGCAGGAATGGTGTTCCAGTTCATAATACTAATCTTGCCGTTCCTGTTGGTCATATTTATAATTTAAGAGAACGTTACTCACGCTTGTGAAGTCTCTGTATTATGAGGAGTAGTAGTGTTCAAACAGATCCTTCTCTGCTGTCGGTTTAAACGGGGGAAAAAAAATA